TCTGCTTTCTGAGTCCTAAGCCACCATATCTGACGTTCATTTGCTTCATTATTTAGAGCTTGTGTTAGCATTTGATTATTATTTTATGATCTAGCTTAGACTTTTTGCAATTGTTGTTCTAGATTTCTAACTCTTCAAACAATTTGTTCTATTACCATATTCTGATCTTGCCAAAACTGACAAATTGAATCAGTATAAGTAATAATATTAGCCAAACATGTACCAACTATATCAATTTGTCCTCTTATATCATCTGGAAGTATAACTTCTGTATTATCCAAATGTATTTGAATTCTTACTAAAGAAGCTGAAGCCTCAAATCTTCTATCTAAAATAGCTTGTATTGTATGCTCCATATCTAATATTTCTTTATTATTTAAAATTTTTTTCTGACTTAGACCAGTTATTTCATAAATATAGGTCTTAAGTTACTCAATCTTATCTTCTAGCCTCAAAATATAGATATCTTGTGCAGTATTAGCATTACCTTTATGTCTTAAATCCTGTAATGCTTTGTGAAGACACTATTTAAGTGATTTGATCTCAGTCTTAAAAGATGTTATCTCATCTTCATGAATTAAGATTGTAGAGTCTTGTTGTGATATAGTTTATAACATGCATCTAACTCCTTGTTAAGAGCCTTAAGCTTTTTATTGGAAATATTATTTGAGACTATTTTATTTGTCAATTCTTTACGTAACTCTTTATTAGTATCAAGAATTTCAATATAAGCCAAATCCATATCATTGATTCCTATTATACAAATAGATTTAAGTAAAGCTAGAAATTTAGATATATCTATTGATTTGCAAAAAATTTATTATCAATCTATTGGGTATCAAAGAAATGTTATAAAATTGTATGAAGCTTCTCAAAAAGCTGGGTTTGATTTTACCTTAAATAATGTGTATAATTGGCTCGAAAGTCAAGCTATACATCAGATACATAAGCCTTGTCTCAGATATATTCCTCAAGCAAGTTTTTGTTCTATTACTAATCCCAATAAAGTTCACCAGGTAGATATTCTCTACATGTCTTATGACAAAGTAGGTTAGGTTACCTATTTTTTTTTGTCTTATTGTGATAGATGTAGCTTCAAGATATAGAGTGTCTATCCCTATTGGTGTATATAATGTCAAAGATAAGTAGGGAATCTTAACTTTAGCTACTATTGCTAAAACTCTTGAAAAAATCTATAATGACCTTGAGTATCTTCTGATCTGACCAAAAATATTTTTACTAGATAGGAAACCAGAGTTTAGAGGTAAATGTGAGAAATTAATAAGAGAATATAGTGTAAAAATTCAGAAAGCTAAATCTAAACCTACTATAAGCAGTGATGTATATTTTCAATATCCCAAACATTTTAAGACTATCCCACACTATGTCCCAAAATGTCTCACATTAAGTTCCAATGTTCCAGGCTATGCCTCAAAAATGTCCCATGACAACACTGACTATAGATATTATTGAAAGATCTAACCAAACTTTGATTGAGAAATTATTTCCTTCCCAGAACACATCTGATCTTTTAACTTTACACTTAAATAAGATATCTTGGGTTTGGATAAAGAATTTGCCTATAGTTGTTAAATATATTAATAATTCTATCATGTGTTAGCTTGGCATTTCTCCTGTTAATACAATAGAGAAAGAAGAGGTCTTGGCTAAACCTTCTTATCTTCAGAATGGTCCTATAGGCTTTGATAAAGAGAAGCTTTCTGGTGATGTTCTTGTTCGATATTTGCTATATCCTAGTAATTTGAAGGGTGGAAGACGTTGTACTGGTGATTTGAATTGGTCACCTCATATTTATTATATTTGTCAATCTATGGTACAAAAAATCAGCCGGTCTTGTATTGGCTGGAAGAAGTCCCTTTTGGGTTAATTGATAATGATGATTATATTCTCAAACATCCTGAAAGATCTTTTGTTCAAGAAGAATTGATGATTATTCTTTATAATACAAAATTGCCTTCCCAGTAGATACTTACGAATTATAATAGTCTTTTGCTTTTTCATCCATTTGTTCTTCCTTAACAAAATTATCCTTAGCTAATTCATAGTATAATTTGTATAAATCTATGATTGCATTAAGAATTCTAGGATCTCGTCCGTAATATTCCTTATAGTCATTTTTTTATTTGTCTTTATTGGGGAAGATATTTTGGGCTAATTTTAATATATGTTCTTTAGAATCTTCTACCTGACGCAATTTTTTAACCTGATCTTTATAACTTAATATGAATTTTTTGTCTTTTGGTTTTCTATAGTAGAGCCCTGCTTTGATGACATTTATTAATACCTTTTCGATATCTTGAGATGTTGGCTTAGTATTAGTTAATTGAATTTGTATACTCATTATGTAAGAAGATATATCTGCCATTCACTTTTCTATATTGTGGATAATTTTATTTAATTAAATTTTTTCATCCCTATTGTAAATAATGGTATCTTATACATACAATTATTTTTATAACTCTGACAAGACTTGTAATAAAACCTGCACTCAATTTAAAGGATGTCAGCAACATTAAAAGACTAAAAAATGCTATCCTTGTACTGATTATGACAAACTTACTACTACAGCTTGTAAACGGTATACTGAACATATTAGAGAATATTATGTGATGCAATATTATAATAAATTGTGTGATAAGGCTCAGAGATTAGAATTGATAAAAGATGCAACTTAGAGGTGAGATTTAGTATATATATACCTTAGAGGTGTAATTTTTTTGTCCTAAATTTTTGTAAAGAAATGAGTTTGAAAGGTTTTCTGTATATTGAGAAATTGTTAGCATGTTAGAACATGCTTGATAAACTTTTGGTTTACAAATTTATTATCCTTTAGAAGTGTAACTTAGAGGTGAGACTTGATAAAAAATGTGATTTAGAAATGTGATTTAGAAGTTAGACTTAGAATATGATATGCATTTTAAACTTGTATGATCAGGTCCAGCTCAAATTGCGTCACTTTGTTCTTGATTTTTGATGACCCCTCCAGAGGCAATCTGAATAGTATAAAAGTTATTATTTATATTGGGTTTGTAATATCAGGCCTAGATTAAATTGCGTCACTTTGTTCTTTGATTTTTGATTGCCTCTCCTAAGATAAACAGAATAGTAAAAAATTTTTAATATATTATTTGGGATTAAAATCAGGTTAGAATGGTTATGTCAAATATTATAGTTCTTGATATCAGACAGGCTAATTTCTAGCTAAGTTTAATATTAACATCTAGATTTGAGTCAAATCATGTTAGAGGTTTAAATTCGATAATTAATTCATATAGCTAAAAAGGATTTGAAGGCGGTCAGGAATCTTTCTGAGTACTATTTGGAATTTTGTCTCAGAACTAAAGATGGGAACTGTAATTAATATGTTGCAACTTTTAATGTTGCAACTTACGTTGCAATTAGTTTTAACCTATATATGTTGCAACTTATAATGTTGCAACATATGTTGCAACTAATTTTAGCTTATGTTGCATTATTTTGTAAATTTGAAATCAATTGCTGTATCATCTTTACTCAGAACCCCTCTTTGTCCTATATATTGTAAATTTATATTCCAATAAATTTGTAAATAAAAGTTTATATAATTATTGAATATGTTTTATTAATAAACCAAATTTTATCACTATAATATTGATTTATTAAAATTGTGATCTAAAATAGAACTGAAAAATCTTTACTATATATTACCACTATAGCAATCATCTAATCTTAATATTGTGAAACAGATTTTTTATATAATTAAATTTAACATGCATTTTAAAAAGTTAATAGTAATGTGAATCATAGTTTGCCAAGTACTATTATATAAAAAAGTTTTATTTATGAAACATTTTTAAAAAATCATATAAAAATAAATTAAAAAATTCATAAATTGAAATAATTTCATTATATATATTAAATGGGTAGCTGAAAGACATACTTTTAAACCAAAATAACCATAGAATAAAATATTATATATATTTTTTTTAATTTTATTTCCTATTAATTAATTAACAGGATTTTTTTTTATTAAAAAAAAATTATAATAAAACTAATATCTGGTAAATATATGTATATAAATCTAATCCTTAAGTGGTAACCAGTTTTTGTAAATCAATAAAAGCTGATAATTATATAAAATCTAATATTTATAGTAAGTAAGCCCCATTTTTTAAATTTAAAATAATATTGATATTGTAACAGAAACATATAGTAAAGATTTTCCAATTCTTCTAAAATCCAATCCATCATTATTGCTCTTCCCATTTATTTAATTTATATACAGTATATATCTTCAACATTTTTTATACATATAAATTGATATATAAATAACTTTATAATTTTATTAATATGAACAAATTCTTAAGATTATTAAGTTAAATTATTATCCTTCAGATATCTATAACTTTGCTAATATGTATTGAAGTTTATTTTTTTACAATCAACTTGTATAACAATATATAATGATAAAGCATTTTTTTTTTAATTTAAAAAGTAATATCTTTTATAGGTTATTATTATTATACAAATAGATTTACTAAATAGATATGTGTAATAAAAGAAAAGAAGTTGCTAAAAAATTTTTTTATAATACATATATATCATTTTTTTAAAGATGTAATTAAGCTTCATTTAACATCCTTTTTTTTTAAAAAAAAAAACGCTATTAATAAAAAGTAGTTCTGTCAAAATAAGTAAAAATAATTAAGAATTTTTAGTCATTATGGATATCATGAGAAAGAATCTAAAAAAATAACCTTTCTTTGAATCAAAGTTTTTATTCCATCCGGGAAAATTAACGTATCTGCAGATAAAAACTAACTATTCTATTTTGGTAGGAAAAGTGGCTGGGATAAGATGCAAAATATTGATTTCTCAATCAAAATGTATTATGAATATTAAAAATTATTAAAATTTAAGAAACATAAGCTATTTTTTATATTAAATAATGACAAATTAAATTCATTAATAATATTATAAATTTATGACAATCTAAATTTTTACATGTGAGCTAATAAGTCATCTGCTGTATCAGTCTCATTCAATTCTTCGATCTCTGGGCTATAAGACTGAGTGGAATCACTTTTTTTTTAAAAAAAAAAAAGTTTTAAAATGTGATGCTTAAATAATTTATGAAAAATAAACAGAATAACTTACGGTCCGGGTTCCTCCTCAGAAGGAATCAAAATATTGTTTAATGTATCATTTGATCCTGTAGCAAGTTTTCGTCCCATCCTATTAATTCGAAATCGATCAAATTAAAGTAAAGTATAAAGTATTGAAAAGAAAAAAGTTCATTTATTACCTTCTTGATTTAATCACTTGACCACGAAAAGTTTTGGTTAAAACAGATTCGGGCTTTTGTTTTGCTTCTTGATCTTCATTTGTCGAGTCGCTTGCAATTGTACTCTTTGACTCAGACACATCATCTAATTTGGCTTTCTTAAAAGGAGAAGAGGCTTCAATAGAAAAAGGTCTCGATTTTAAAGAAGATTTGCCACGGGCAATATCTTTCCTGCCAGGTTTACTTTCATGAATATCCTCTTCTTCAAACTCATTTTCATCTAAATATTCATCTGAAAGATAATTTGAATCTGCTTGGAACGTTGATGACATAATGGAACCTACAAACAGTTCTTTAAATTAATAACGAGCTGAAATTTTTTTTTTAAAAAAAAGGTGGTCGTGCCTTTCACATTCAATATTTTCATCAATTTTTTCACTTTCTTTTTCTTGGTATTCAGAATTTTCTTGAACTATAAAAATTCGAAGTGTTCAAATTCGATTACTTTAAATCATAACATAAATGATTACTATTTCTATATTGCACCTTTTCTATTAATAATTCTTGATTATGTATCTTCTCAGCATTCATAATTTCAAGCTTTTCTTGCATTTGATCTCTAATTTGCTCCAAATCATTAACACGTATATCATACGCATTTTTACTTTTCTATTATAAATAAATATAAGTGAGTTACAATCGTAAATGTAAAAATGCGATGAATCGAAATATCTATTTACTATGAGCTGATTTCTTTCTTCAATAAAAAAGTCCGTCCATTCTTGCCACATCTTTACGGTTTCAAATTGTGAAACAGGAAATAATGAAATATTTCCAAGTGTGAATTGTAAGGCCTGTCTTTTGATCAATATTAAAAATGAGAATTCATGATAATAATTCAAGTAGATAAGGAAAGATTGATATATATATATATATATTAAATGAAATTTTAACCATTGCTGATGTTCCAGTTTGTTGCATTAACCATTTCCATATAAACTAACAAGACATGAAAGTACTCGTGAATAAAAATGTTAAAATTGATATAGACGTGTCATATATTTTAATTTACCTTGGCGTTACTTTCATGAATTGTTATCTGACACGATAATTTTTGATTTTCGTATTGATCGCGTCCTGATAAAGCTGCTTGCGTAGCTTCACAAAATTTCTGAGCATCGCGTATATTATCAGGTTTGGTACCTTTTAGATCTATTAAAGTAACTATTTATAAACGTATCGTTAATGAACGAATTCCTTGAATTCCTTATACACGTCCTTTGAGGAAAGGTACATACCATTTCGCGTCCAAAAAGTTTTACAGTCAGTTATGGCTAACTCACAAATAACTTTATCATCACTACCTAATAAACCTTTGAAGGGATCAACTTTCCAATTAGCTCTAACATAAAATATCTTTTCAGTTTCGTTTTCTTTATAAGGTAATCGGAAACAAGTAATAGACGTTTTAGTCGCCATTTCTAAGCAAAAGGTGAAGGGATCAAATAAAATATATTTTCGTTTTTTTATTCAATGATTTACCTAATTAGTAAATCAACCAAATATAAATTGATTACTGTAAATATTGGGAACAACCAAATTTTATTCCGAACACTGCAGAAAAATCATACTCTATATAAACTATATAGTAATTTATTGGATAAATTCAAAACATCAATTTGATGATAAAGTTCTTTAATATGTCGATTATACAAATAATAAATAACGTTCTTATTAAATTCGTCCCAAACGAGATGATGTTCTTGATAAAATTTCTGCAAGCATAAAGATAAAAGACAATTGACATAGATTATTAAATAAAACATTTGGTAATCCCCCAACAATAGCTATTCTTTTATAGCTTCATCTTTTATCCCTTGACTCGTTTTTGTGATTACGTAATTGTTGATTTCTTTGTGCTTCTCTTTTCTTCCATGCATCCCGAATTGTTGATGTATATGAGAGTAACTAATAAAATAAATAAAAATTATGGTTATCTTATTAAACATGTACTAAATTAAAATAGAAAAAAATGTGCCTGTTCTTCTGTAATTCCATCCATTATACTTTGTTTTATTTTTTCAACAACAGTATGATGATTTGCATGTGGTTTATCATCACGAAACCTTACAAATCGCCACGGCGGATTCATTGAAGGATTGTAAACTACTTCAACAACACGTCCTTCATATTGTTGAACATCACGTTTCCAACTGTGTGCGAAATGAAACATTTGAATCAACATTAACGTTTATGAATAAATTCAGGAACGTCTTTAATTACTTACAACTGCTCCCACTCTTCATCAGTAACATACATATCATCAAAATAAGTATGTTCATCCTTTTGTATCCATTTATAAAGGCAAAATCTTGGTTTATTATTCTCATTGTAACTTTGAAATTCGAAATGTAATTTAAAGTCAATGGAATTTTCATTGGGTGGTTTCCATTTTAACATTTTCTCGAAAGTTCCTGTCGAATAACCTGATGTTAATGATGTAAAAATTAATCCGTCGCTTTTGTGCTTTAAAGACGGTATAATTTGTTTTAAAACTTTTTCTAGTCCATAAGAAAATTCCATTTCTTTTTTCACTACACTTTGTGAATTAAATTTTTAGGTAAGGGATCAAAAAGGTTAGAATTGATCATTTATGTGACAATAATTGGAGGGAAATAATACTCACTTAAATGGTTGTATTTGTGCAAGGTCCGGACGTTTACGCAACATTTTCTCATAGGGGTTCATAATATAATCACGAAGATACTTTGAAAATAAAGAATTGTCCATTAATATAAATAGAATTATCATATACATTTTCATAATCTATGCAACTTACACCCAATCTTTTGTTAAGAGGCTTATTCATGAAGTTCTTTCTATCCATTACTAACAAATCAAAAACTAATAGCTTTAGAGAAATCTAAATAAGAGAACAATAAACCAACAATAAAATATCAATGTAAACTTATAACTTTCAAAAAAAAAAAAATAATAAAAATATTGCAACATTTACCCTTCCATCATTTTCAGTATCATTTACTAATTCACAATCCATTATTGTTTCATTATGAAAATTTGAAAATGTTGGGTCATCAGGAACAGGAAACAATAAATTTGGAATTAGGCGATAGTAATTCTTGCGATCGATCTGTATTATCTTCGCTTAGTAAGTGAATTCTTAAGCCTCAGGTAAAAATATAGATCAAATTTTAAATTAAAAAAATAATACTAACCAAAAAAACAGCTGGTATTCCAGGACTATCACATGTAATATAAGCTAATACACGTGTTCCGTCTGTTTTCTCACAAACATAATAACTAAAAAAAAGATCAACGATTTAAAGTTGACTATTATGTCAAATGAAATTTAATACGAATTACTAACTCTTCATTTTGCAATTCCCGTATATGCTCTGAACTGAAACTAATTGGTTGCGCCCCTGTTAAAGAAAATAAATGTTAGTAATAATAATAAATATTAGAATGAATTAAAATGAATACCACATACCAGGGAAGCTATTATAAAAAGTTATTATATGAAAAATGAGATATAAAATGAATTGAATTTTATAGGAAAAAAATCAGTTTGTTATTGGAAAATAATAATTATCAATTAAAATCTTATTACTTAAGAACGGTTATGTGGCATAAATGAAAAGCCAATTTAGTTACGTTACTTATGCACATAACCGCTCTGAAAACTTTGAAATAAAAAAAAAACTACTGACTTCGATACTCCAACTAACTCTCTGACCCTTGACCTTAACTCTCTAAGGCGTTGAGTTTCTACTGGTTGTCCGGGAACTCTTGGAGCTATGAGACAAATAATGAAAAAAGAAAGGAATAATTAAGGAGTGAACCGAGCTAATAGATTCATGCATTTATAATTAATAAGAATGTATTATCATCATTGCGAATTTATAACACTAGACTAGTAATGCTATACAAGGAATTGTCATCCTCCAGTCTCTTCTTTTTGATATAAGCAAATTGCATTCCTACGATTTTTATATACTAGGGAACAAGTGATTTACCTGGAGCAAATTGCCTCTATTATAAAGTTTAAGGAATTTAATCTTAATTAAAAAATTACGGTTTGTATTCATTAAATTGACCATATACATACTCCTTCTGAATTATAACCGAGTGAATGATGTGAATCAGGGGGATCAGGGGTAAGAGATCGTCTCATCAATTCATTTATTTTCCTAGCTGCAGCATGCATCGCGCCTTGAGTTGATGCTGTCACATGTAAATAAAGTGATGGTTCCTCTTCAGTAGCAAGAAGTTTATCAGGATAATACTTTCCACGAGTCGACACATCTAGATAACAGATATCTTTTAAAATATAGTCGACTTTGGACAAATAAACTTTAATCAAATGTAGTACTTACCTGCACCAGTTTCTTTTTTGATCTATAAAGTTATAATCAATTTATAGAATCATACATTATTGAAATGCAAATTCTTAATATTTAAAACATAAATTTTCTTTATCATATCCATTACCTTTTGTTGAAATGAACTTCCAGCTAAAATACGTCTGTTTTTATTATCATTAATTGTTATATCAATAAATTCCACATCTTCCTGTTTTATTTGTTTATGCTCCTGAAATAATTACAAATCAAGAATGAAATGAGATAGCGAAAAAATTATAATTATGAAATTAAAGTAAAAGGAACGCGTATTTTATACCTCGTCTTCAATATAAACGTCAACTTTAGCTGTTATTAAAAATAAACCAATATTTTTTTTTTTTAGGATTTGCTTGAATAAATATTAAATAACCATAACTTATTAAGACACGAAACGTAAACCTGTAGGTAGGTTGGAATCAATAACTTCAAAACCTTGTGTCATCGAAGGAGCTTTAGACATAGAAGCATCACTGCTGGCTTCTACTTTTATTGATTTTTGTTTCGTTATTTCGTCGTCCCATTTACGCTTCCGACTGAAATAATTAAAATATTGTACATAAGCATGAATAACTAATTTTCAAGTAATATTTTTCCTTACTCACATTTGTGAAGACATTACAATTTGTTTGATTTTTTAAAAAAGAAATGAAATGATGGAAAATAATGACTCTCATTTCATGATAATTGTGCAACTAAAATGGTTAGTCTCAATTTCGGCCAGAATTACTATAATCTCTTGTAAACAATAATCATAGCCAATCAAATCATTCTAAACAGATTTGCTTCATTAATTTGGTCAAAGAAATCATTGCGTGTTTAAGATACCTGTTTATAACTGGTAACGGTAAACCAAAAAATTTTAACGCGTCTATTTGTCTAATTTTCTAAATTTTCATAATGGTAATTAGATTTATTACATAGAATAACACTTTTTTCAATTGTTTTTAATTTTTTAAATAAATACTTTTTTTCGACCAAATAAAGACTAAGGGTACTTCACGAACTACGAGAAGCGGTATTTCAAAAGAATTAAATATTATTTTTATTTATATGACACGTTTTCAAATTAACCTTTTCTTTTAAATTAGCTTCTCAGGGTACATCAGCTACCCGTTCGATACCACAAAACACGAGTGATATACATTGGAAATCCTTAAGTCCAAATACGAGACAACATATCCATGATCTTGTATTGAGCTCTGTTCCGTAAGAATTTAATAAATAACTTTTATTACTGATAATTTAAAATATATTAAATATAAAAAAAAAACTCGTTAGCGTTGTGTTGAATAGTATTCGTGGTACAAAGAGGAAGGCTAATTTACAAGAATTATTAGACAAACTTATTACAAAGTAAATGATTTTTTATTATGATTATTCTCTAAAATTATTATATATCCAAAAATTAATTGAATTCTGGTTGTTTTACGCGTAAAAAAGAATTGATGAAAAGTTGGAAACACATCAAGTTCCAAAATCATCAAAAAATAGCAATTTTGATTATAGCAAACTTCATTCTCAAAATGTAATTAAATAAAATTATAAAATCAATTTTACAATAGTTTTAAGTAATCTTTTAATTTTTCGATATTACAATGTAGCGAGCATTGGAGTTGACACTTGCCCAAGAATTAGAGCAGATCAGCCAAATGGAATTGCAACTTGAACACGAGAAATTGTAAGTATTTTTTTCGATCCTATTAAAAAATTTACAAGATGATAACATTTCTTGATTTTTAAGGCTTTTGAAAGAAGATTCAAAGAGTTTGGCTAAATTCTGTAGTGATAAAAAGGCTGTAGACAGTCGAAATAAAATGCTTCAGAGAAACAAGGTGGATAAGAATAGATACAATAATTATAATAATCATTACTTAACAGAGAATTTTTTTTTTTTTTTTAAATCTAGCTTCATCCTTTATTAAAAGAAGAAATAGAAGACGTGGTTGAAATTGACGAAGAATTAATTAAATTTCATTTTAAACCACCACTCAGGGACAAATCTTCATGCTTATATGATGTAAGAATATTTATTATTATTCATTTTATATCATATGTATGTTTTAATTGAATTACGATTTATTAAAGCCCGAAAAGGATGATCAGCTTTGCGAGATTGAAAAATCTCTCTCCCTTAATTTGCGATCAATTGAAAAGAACACTCAAACAATCGATGATTTAGTAAATGAGATTGATGAAGCTGAGAATAGTTTGCTACAATTAATGAAAAATGTAGGTTTGGAAGATAAGTTTGTTGAAAAGGTTTGTTTATAAATAAATTTCTATTATTAAGTTTTTTTTTTTAATAAAATAAAAAAAATGTATTACAAATTTAAAAAATGTAAAAACTTTTTTAAATCCTTAAAAATGATTATTTGAAATATAATTTAACTTTATTGAGTTTATTAAAAGTTTAGGTAAATATATAAATAGACACATTATATGAAATTTAGTTATAATGTGTACATATATATATTAATTTTTGTGTATACATATTATACAATAAATTTATCAATTTTTTTACATAATTTTTAACTTAGATTATATAGGTCATATGCTATTAAAATTAGATTATAACTCATAGTAAATCATATAATTTAAACATGAATTTTAATAGCATACCTTCCATATAAGGATCTGGCGATTCTGTCTTAGTTAATAATAACTAATCTTAATTCAGCTTCTAGTCAAGGTAGATTATAATAAATTAATTTATAGGATTTACCAATTTGATTTTATGAATGAATTTTATAGAGTACATACAAATATCTAGGGTTTTACAATTTGATTCGATGTTTAAATATTTGATTTGATTCGATCAAATTTAAATCAAAGAATGATTTATTTGATCAAATCCAAATTAATGTTTGATTTGAT